TGATAAGAAGGTAGGCAGGCTATATTAAAATGGATCTTATGAAAATAGGATGCGACTATGTAAATGGCTCAAGATTAGATCCAGCAGCAGGTTTTGATATTAACAATACTGCTTCAGTGTGTTCCATTGCCACATGTTACTTAGGTTCCCCTTAAAGTGGAGGTGACTCTTCTGAGAATTAAAACTAATATTCCAACCACTGGTTTTAAAGCTCCTTTTTATTGATCTATCTTTTCTTCTTCCATACTAATACTCTGCCCAAAATGCTCAACATGTTGCACAGAGATATACTGTTATCCACAGCCGACATGGAAAACATGACAAGTTGATGCAGTCATTACAGCACCTGTAATCAGACTTACTTGTATGTAAAACGAAGGAACTGTTAATCCACACCAATCAAATGCTACAGTCAAATAAACATGAAGAAACTGACAAGGCTGTGTACTGGAAGATATTATAAAATATAGTGAAGTGAAGCCATCTCTGTAACAGGCCATGGAGGCCCATAGGGGTGTGAGACATTGAGGCTCCCGCATTTTCTAGACAATTGGCTCATAGATGGCGATGAGCTTGTCAGCCTTACGCACCGGCCACTGTTCACCCCCCAGGAGTATTCCTGGTACTCATTTCTGTCAGAGGCTGAGTTGACCGCAGGGCCATAGTGTGACTGGATGGATTAGGTAAATTGAAAAAATCAATCTTATCGGGATTCGATTGCACAACATTCCAGCTCACAGAATAGTGCCTCAACCAACTACGTTACCACATGCCACCTATTATAAAATATAGAGGCCAAACAAATCTACTGGAGAGGTGATGCTGTCAGGAATATTCTAACTGCACGTTGGAAGGAAATGTAATACAGTACCTGTGACTAACAGAATACCTGAAGAAAAATGTGTCATTTGAATAAATATATCAAATTTATCTCAGCTCTGTGACAACTATAGTATTCTGAAAGTTAGCTGAGAAGATATTTTATTTGCAGTGCAGAAAATTTAACATCAAGCTGCATGTAGAGTGGAAAAGTTTGGGGGTGGGTTACACGAGAATTCAAAACCAACATAATTACAGTTGGTCCTTTATCAATGCAGATTTGCCTAACATTGTTCTTGTCAGGTTTTCTATTACCTTTAGTAGCTTCTTTTGTTGAGACATGTGAAACATTACCTATACACAGTTTGCACTGGTAACTGTTTGGTCACATAACTTCGAAGTAGGAAGCAGCATCAAGTGCCTTTCACTGAGCAAACTTTGCATTGAGTGTCAGTTGAGTGGTTAACTCCTGTTTCATATTTGAGTAGTTTTATGTTAAATCTCAGCCCAGGGACCATAAATCCTTCTAAGGAGTTTCACACCATGTTTATATCTTAAATTGGGTCACATCTTTTCCAATTCATTACTCACAAATCATCCTATCATTTGCCACTACATCATCCAGCACCTGAATGTGCCGATAAATAAACCAAAAACAAATAAATAAATAAATAAATATACATCTAGGGTCACTTCGGTTTCTTCAATAATTAGAACTTATGCTTATTTTTAGAATAATTAGCTTTCTCTGTGCATATTATTTGTAACATACTTCTATGTTAACTACAAGAAAATATACAGGTAACTTCTTTTTCAAATGTCCCAAGTCTTAGTTCATCTGGAGATTAAACTGATAAAACATTTTGTTTTCCTGGACCATGAAAATCCGGGTCTGGCAAATTACGTAAATAAACCTATACTGTCAAGTACATCAGATTACTTTTAAAATGTGCATAATGGACCAAGATGTTGATATTTTCTGGAAACAATTCAAAGCAAACTTGCTGTAAGACTTCAAATTTACAAAATGGACTTCGCCTCTAGAACTACAGATGGACAAAACTGTTTTATTTTTCTCTGATAACAAGGTTCAGGACATATAAAATGCTGGATGTAACTATGTATTTTCTGTACACACTCTGATCAGAAAGCCCTCAGTGACCTTTGGGTATGTTTGGCAGTTAAGAGGCCTAAAACACCACTAATATGAATAGAAACTTCACAGTCCTGTCAGATACTCATCAATTTCTGCCTTTATTCCTGTATACTTTTGTAATGAACCATTAAAATTGCACAAATACAGCAATAAAGAAAATGCATGACCACACATGCACAAAGATGGCCAAGAGAAAAATGTAAACTTCATAACTCACTACATTCATCTTAAACAAGAAAGAATGAGAGCCCCCCCCCCAAAAAAAAGAAAAGGTCAAACTGTTTGACATTCCTCTTTAACATATCTTCCTCACTCAAACAAAAAATACTAACATAAACATTATTCCATGTGGCTAAGCTGAAATGAGGTGTGCTGGCTTCTTGGACACTGGATACCCCACTTCTCTTTATTTTCTGATACAGGATAATGGTAAGTACATAAGTAATACCAAAAGTCATGAGCAACTTTTTTTTGCATGCAACCTGGGAACAGCAGACGAACGAGAGTATGGTGGTAGGTGCAACGAGCTGTTGTGTTAACCTTGAGTGTCTTGTGATGTCAATCATGTGAGGAGTATCACTCCTAACAAAATGGCTGACAACGATATGTTGTTTCGCCAACATGCTGTCATCGAATTTCTTGTGAAAGAGGAAATCCCTGCTGCAGAAATTCACCAGACTTCAGTGTGCTTATGGAAGTGTGTGCATGGGTGCGAGCAGTGTTTGAAGATGGGTGAAATATTTTAAAGATGGGAACATCAGCATCGAAGATGAGCCTTGGAGAGGTCGTCCTCAAACAGCCTCAACTGAACACAACAAGGAAAGAGTGGATGAGATCATTCAAGATGACAGGCGTGTGACCATGGACACAATAGCCCGAGAACTTGGAATAGGGCACAGTGCAGTACAGGAAATGATTGAAAGCTTGGGGTATAGGAAAGTTTGTGCTCGTTGGGTCCCGCGGTTATTGACCAAAGACCACAAAGGTCAGCGAAAAGCCATCACCTCAGAACGCTGCAGAGATATCAATGTGAAGGCGATGATTTTTTGCTCTATATTGTGACAGGTGACGAAAGCTGGTTTCACCACTTTGAGCCTGAAACGAAACGGCAGAGTATGGAATGGCACCATTTGCATTCTCCATCAAAAAAGAAGGCAAAGACAGTGCCATCAGCTGGAAAGGTGTTGGGCACAGTCTTCTGGGATGCAGAAGGGTTTATTCTGGCTGAATTCCTGGAACCTGGGCAAACCATCAATGCTGCTCGTTATGTCCAGACGCTGCACAAGCTCCGTTGTGCACTGCGCGATAAATGTCCGGGACAAAACATCATCATCCTGCATGACAACGCTCGCCTCACATTGGAAGCAATTGCAAAGATGGGGTGGGAAGTTCTTCCACACCCCTCCTATAGCCCTGATCTGGCACCCTACAACTACCATCTTTTTGGATTTGTGAAGGATCAGCTGCGTGGACAACGTTTTGAGACAAGGGAGGCAATTCAGAAAGCAGTGCGTCAGTGTCTTCGGATGGCTGAAATGGAATTTTACAGCAGGGGAATTTTCAAACTCCCAGAACGCTGAGAGAAATGTGTACAAAGAAGTGGCTATTATGTGGAAAAATAGAGAAAGGTCTGTAGATTGAGGTGGTGTATTTTGTTTGTCAATAATAAAGCATGGTACTTTACAAAAAACTGTTGCTCATGACTTTCAGTACAACCCTCGTATATTGCATTAACATGCATTAGGTTATACAGAAACTAAGTAATGATATTACAAACTCAATCTCATGTATTCAATGAAGTAAATAATCCATAAAATTATGTGTACTGGTTCTTAACTTTTAAAATTTTTATATGCAATTCAGTCATTACCACACAACAAACCAGTACCTAATATCTGCACTGTAAGGCTGATGACTTTGCTCTGTAAAAACGTTACTTTTTCGAATCGTAAGAAGTGGGAACCAGATGGTTTGATTAATGACACATAGCTAGCAATATATAAATCTGGCAGAACCTTCTAAGGAAGACTCTGGCTCAAGAAGGGCTCTTCTGCCAATGATGGTGACGGTGATGGCAAATTATAGCTTTTGAGTGCAGTACACACATATTTTATATTATATATTTTCGTCTGGGCCATGGAACTCTTGAGACCAGGGCAAAACTGTATAATGCTGAAACAATAGCTACACGGTCCAGCCATTTTAGTGGAATATCTTGGATCATTATGCAGGAAATAAAGATCTAATATAAATTAAAAAATGCAGTGACGCTGTATTTAAGGTTTCTTTGAGGAGCCATGGATCTAGGCAGTAAACTGAGGTAAATCTTAAGGACAGGAAATTTATCCGTTTTTACTGACTTGTATCACTGAAACTGAGTGATAATGAGAGAACATATTAAATGGGTATTCCATTATACTGACCCTTAAACAGTACGATTTTGAATAATATGCTTATTTCGTTTTGCATAAAATGAATGCATTACATAAAAGATGTGTTCATTCACTTTGACAAATCACTAAATATATTATGCTGAATGTGGAAGTTTATGCTAAAAGCACTTAGGTAAATTCCACTTTGGTCCCTATTGGTCCAACATTACTTCAACTATAAATGAAGCTGCAACAGAATAATTTCTCAAAAATGGCTCTCCACACAAGAAAAATATACCTGACATAAAACACAGACACTATTAAAAGTTATTTATTTTATGATAATGCATATTTAATGAAAAATAACATATATGTTCATCTATTCAAGAGTGGCCTTGTCAACAACAGACCTGTATATTGCTTTAACCTAGGTCTTGCTGCAACACTGCAGTACAAGAGGAAGACAAAACGAAAACGTAACTTTTAACATTTTTGTCACCTCCAACTTAGGAAAGTGTCACTCCCTGAAACATAAACTCTTCTTCGTTAATAAAGTTTGATCTGAGAGTAGGACAAAATGTATTCCTGACCATCTGCATCAACAAGAGTCTTGTGTTGCATTTTCAAAAATTCTTGGTGTTCATTTCTGCAACTGGAATGTAGAACAAGATGGAGAAGACAAACATTTCCAAATCAGAAAATCATTTCTCCAATAAGAGGGATAATAAGTGCAAAGAGTGTATCTTCATGTGTTTACTTTCAACTGAAATATGCTTTTCTAAACTTGTTACTCCATTTTACTTTTCATAAGTCTCCCAACAGGAAACACAAACAGCAGAAATTCATGAATACTGATTGTCTCTGTCTGGCCACAAATGTAGAACCGAAGGGAACTTGTCATCTGCTTTGTAACCAAGAACCCAACAATTAACCAAGCCTCTGCCACTAATGTATTATTTGCCTTTCAATCAGTGTCTCTGTCTACATTTTTACAGGTTCCCACAACCTTCAATGCATGTAATTTCATTTGCAAAATTATAAATATGGTGTCATGGATGCTATACAGGTTTCTGTCAACTTCTAGATCTACCTTGACAATGGAATTGGTAGACATGTGGAAATTTACTGCGAACAGCGAGGATGGAGATGGTACAATGAATGGAATTATACTACAGTAGTGTATTACATGTTTTCAGAATGAATTAAATGTGTAAAACACTTCTCTCAACACACAAAAACCATTTCAAATACTGGTAATACACTGCCATAACCATGTGAAGTATTCTGCATGGTCATTCTCAAACAGGATGAAAGCATTGCAAGCAGTGCAGGCAATGTGTGCAGTGTTAACATGTGGTTTAAGGATGTCCTACAAAACAAAACCTCAATATAGAGCCCTTGAAAGCAAATGTGGCACAGTCAGTTTCCACTTCTATCCTCTGGGGAATTCATTTACTTTCTTCCATAACACATCTGAGCTTGCAGTATGAAATGATAAATTACAAAGGAGGCAAATAAATACTTTAGTTACATATGCACAAAAACATAACATCAGTATCAACCATAATAATAAACAGGGAAAACATGCACTACTGGCAAAAGGTATACTGCAGTACAATATCTGAGCAATCACAACATTATAATTAAAATATATGGAACTGACTACAGGCTAAATGCTTATGCTATCATGGGCTCACGTAATCAAAGAACCTCCTTAAACTTTATAAAGTAGATTGAAACAAAAATTAAAGAAAAGTTACATGAACAGAAAGAAATACATAAATAATTTTGTTTCATATTTTTTTTTCTATCTTTTGAACAAATGCAATTCAGACATGCTACTTTACACTGTCTTACCCAACACATTACCGTCTAACTATCCACATATTGACATTCTTACTCGTTGACCTTCATATTGGTTTTAATTATAGCAATAGTACCTCAACACTATGATATATACAAAAATATACAACCCTTGTTTTATGGTATTGTTGCTAGTGAGAAAATCCCCCTACTGAAAATTAAACTACTCGATATTTATTTATACAGCATTCTAACAGCCGTACCTGTCCAGCTGCACAAACATAGGAACGGCTTCTGCATATATATATAATAATAATAATAATTATTATAATAATATGTACTTACTTTACAGTCTACAAACATCCAGTTTGCAAAATATTATTAAAAAATTTGCTCCTCTGTTTTATATTAATGGTTAAGAAACAATGGAACCATGGGATAAAACTGAATTGCTTCCTTATCCATCAGAGTTACTCACTGAATTACAACAGGTTCATTATGCTTGAATGCAACACTCTTACTTAGCAACTTGGCAGGAAGTTGATGTATCCATCCTTATACTGCGGAGTTTGAACACTGGTTCTGGCCATGCTGTTGTTATTCACTGGCCAAGTTTTGGCAGGGGGAAGCTTAATAAAACGCTTATTTCAATGTCATGTTAGAGCTGGTCAAAGAAAATATAATTGAACTCCCTCACTTTCCATCAAAGTCTTTGTTTCTGAAAAGGCCTTTAAAATATCACTTACTGACCACAACCTTGGGCAGTAATTACAACGCTATTGGTGCTAATATGCTCATATTAAAAAGATGCCTCAAAATTTGGAGAAACCAAACAAACACATATTAAAATAAGATCCTACTGGATATATTTGTAATGGAACCAAACAGAAAAGGTTATTACTGTAAAGGTTTGCAGCAGTAATGAACGATGAAGCCACATTTATGGCGCAGTGGTCTGCTGTTTCAAAAAAGCCACCACCATCATGGAGTGAAGGCAGCTTTCTGATCTCTTCCAAACGCTTATATATACCAGCCCACCACAGCACAGTAACATCACCCAAAACTGATTAAAAAAAATAATAAAGCCTCGATAAACTGCCACGAGAGTCTATAGACTTCCATTGTCACTGTGAGTTCTTTATCCTACAGTGTGATGGAACTAGCGTTCTCAAGTGGGATCCACATGAAGGTACTCATGAACTGCCATAGTTAGAAGCTGCTGAAAGGTTGAGTTCAACCAACTTCAGAATCTCCATGAAGGATCACCAAGTTAACTGTATTGCCTTCATCTCAGGCCATTACTCCATGGCATATGGTCCAGTGCTTTGTATCTTATGCTGAAGAGTGCTTGACTCAAAGAGTCCAGAATGTCAACATATCATCAAACTGTTAAATAAGGATGGATAATATATACAATTTGCCCACTGACATTTGACATTCGCTGTGGTCACAAACCACAAGACAGTTTATTGCAGTCCAGTCCATTGGCACATCACTGAAGTTGAACAGTCTCATCACCACAGCATGCGTCCTTCAGCCTCTGAATTCCAAATCTTACGTATTTCACCAAGTCGTTCAGAGAACTATGTAACGTAAGAGGTCCACAACACTGGTCAAGCTGAATGAAGAAATCTGTATAAAGCAGAGAAATACAAATATTAATTGTGATAAAACCGATTTTCAGCGAAATACTGTGTACTAATATACAAGCAACACAAAACTTCTACTTTTAAAATAAAACACCAATGGCTGTGTCTGAAGATGCTGCTCTTATGGTAATCAGAAAATGTTAGAAATGTTATACAAAAGTGGCCAAAGTGCAAAATTTGTCTCATTCTGCGCTGTCAACAGACCAATGTAATCTACAAGTGTTAAGCAAAAGTGTTGGAAGACTAAAATTCACACCATTATATGCTGCCATGATAATGTTATGCAATAGTGGCTGAAGTCAAGTCATTCAACTCTCTCATCATGGATTAAACGCACAGATATATTATCCTGAGAAGCTGAAATCTAAGACATTACCTTCCATGGTGCACCTACATGCTTGTATAATACCAGTCTTCACCAAAACAAAGTATAAGCTCACAAGTAACTTGTAACAGAAACCGAAAAGTTCTTTCATTACTTAATAATGCTGTTTCAACTGTATAGGTTATACCCCTGTTACCAAACAAGTAAAAAATTATTATGAAGGATGTAACCTGACCAATAACAATTCTTCCAATGAGATATTTAATATGGCAGAGAGTCTAGGTGCCATGTTTGCAATATTCCATGGTTTCCTGAAGATGGAAGCAGAAGGTTCCCCCATAAATGTCTGTATCCACCTCACACAACACCATAACTCAGAAGCCCACAGTTTAAATTTTCGCTATCATAACAACCTTAAATAACATGATACAACTAGTTTATCTTACACTTGTGTTTGCCCTTGTGAACAAGCGTATCTGCTTGCTCCCACAGTTCATGGCATGACAGCAGGTAGGTGAAGTGCTGGTTCTGCTTCTGCATTGCTGAGTGTACAAACAATGGTACAGCAACACAAGGGCCCATGTTGGCAGCCGGGGGCTGCTGTCCCATGCTGTTGCCTCCTGCTGTACCACCCATTCTCCCTGCAGCCACATCACCGCTGTTGTACCCAGATGACTGACTTCCTACTGATCCAACAGACCCTGCTGGGGATGGAGTAGGAGACATTGGGGAAGGAGTACCTTGCCCGCCCACCACCTGCCCACCACACTGTTCTGGCTGCAGTGGTGTTGGTTGTGCCGCCTGTGGACAAGATCATTACAATAAAGATATCTTTCATTTAAACATACTAAAATAAAACCTAGACTGAAGGTGTTGAGAATAGGGTAATGAGAAGAATATCTGGACCTGAGAGAGAAGTAAGAGAAGAATAAGTAGAATTACATAATTAGGAGCATCATAATTTGTACTCATCACCAAATACTATTATGTGATGAGGTTAAAGAGTATGATATAGGCAACGAGTGTATCATACACATGAAAGATTATAAAGGCATGTGAAACTCTGGCTGGAAACTGTGGAACAAAAACAACCTGGGAGACTTAAGTGTAAATGGGACTCATATGGCTCAGAAAAAGGCCCAGCTGTGCACAATCTGAACACAGTAATGTATCTTTAGATTCCACAATAGTCAAAGTATTTCTTCACTACCCAAGTACCTATTTGCTTCTCAAGGAGGGCTCAGTTCTATTGAATTAGTTGGTTTTAAATGCAGTTTCATTCACTACTGATGAACGTTCAAAGTTTTACATTGGGTACACATATGCACACATACACAGAATTAAATATAAATCTCTTTATTTTCATATACCAAAATAAGCTCCTTTATCCAGAGCTCAGTCATTTTCCAAGTCAGATGCGATATTCCAAATACATCTAATCTACTGTTTAAGTTTTAATGAGACTATCTTTATGAGACTTCAAAAAATTTCAGCACAGCATTTCCATAATAATTATGAAAGTCAAATGTTACTTCCTTTTTGGCATATATATGAACCAATGGGAACCTCATGACAAAACGCCGAAGAGACAGACAGGATAACAGACTAAATAACTGGAGGCCAGAAAAGGAAGAAAACTTTTATTTTGCGTGTGGCCCTCACAAAGGAGCATGAGGTGAGGAGAAGAAACTCCTAATGATCAGGCGTACGGAGCTAAATCTCACATGGAAGTTGTTTAATATTACAGTATATTAATCACAGAAGTGACACTTTAATTCCTACAGTCCCGAGTCAAACCACAGTAAAATTTATGAGTCAAGTCTAATACAGTGTGACGTGGGTGGCGCAACAGGAAGTAGGGGTCACATGAACTTTGCGGTCTCACAAGTGATGTCACATACCGCCACTCCTTCCATCATTATGCAACGATCAGTAAACACCCCATCCCTGCAGTGACGTAACAGGGGACACCGCGGTTACTACACAGCAATAAACAACTCTCGGCAGCGTTCCTCAGCAACGTCTGTAAACACGGCGTTTACGCAACAGTGAAGTCATGCGGGTTTTCCGCTGTCCAACTGAGGGTTTATAAGGGAGACTGGAATACGTAACAAGACTGCTGAATTGTAGCAGCTGCCGAAGCCAGTTAGTATTCGGGGTATCCAGTATGAATTGAAGTCCAGCAGCTATGAGTCGGGGTCGTATCGAGTGCATGGCAGGGATTAGAGGAGAAGTATTTGTGAAACTGCCGATGGCAGTAGTTGTGAAATCGTGAATTGTGTAATTGTAAGAGCGAATGTTCAATAAATTCGCTACATCCAAGACAGCGTGAAGTTATTTGTCACATTACATACCCAACATGTGACAATATATATAAAACTCCCTTAGAAGTTTAAATGTAGGGAAACTACTCCCTCCAAGTAAAATGGCAACAAACTGACATGCTGTCAGATACAGTAATATTTGTAAGGGTCAGAACTTCCAACATGCAGCACTTGTACCAAACAGCTGATTTTGTGAAAGAAACACAAGAGAAAATTATGCTGGTTTTGGTATCACAATTAAATGTGGGTCAAAAATCACTGAAGAGGCCAAACCAGAAATACAAGCATGTTTGTTAATATGATAAAGATCATGCACATTACATACTTGTAATAACATGATTCATTATAAGCTGTGGTTATAGACCTGGCCCCTGAATCACATGTGGAAGACATGGCAAGAAAAGCAGATTGCAGCCGTAATCTAGGGAGGGAGGGATGAAGGGAGTTACACTGTAACTACTGCTCCATTATAACCAAAACATACCCCACATTTCTCATCTCAGTTGGTGGGCATGATCTTATCCACTGCATGATCTGTTGAGAAAAGCCAGGTATAAAATGCAGACAGCATGCTTAGATGAATTCTTAAAATAATTACTTTCCTTACATTTGTAAATGTGTCTGACAGGCTTTGCCTGTCATTTTCAATACTCATCTTTCGTCTGAATAAGTAGTGAATTCTCAGAATCTTCCTAAGGCAGGTTAAGTAAATTTTATTTAAAATTTTACACTACGAGATAACTCAGGAACTAGAACAAGGCTCAGTCCTTCTGACAATAAATGTTGATGGTGGTGGTGGTACTGATGATGATGATGATGATACATATGGGGAGCTACATGTAAAAAGCACTGTCATTATATACTCACCTTCTGATGATAATCAGCCAGAACCTTCTGATATTCTTTTACTTCATGTTTTCTCATTTTGAACAATTTGAGGTACAACAGTGACTGGCATCGCAGACTGGAATAAAAAACAAACGACACATTTTCTCAAATAATGTTCTAATGAAGTACAAGCACATGTATAAGAATACACCCGTAAGGTTCAAAACCATTATTCTAAATTTTAATATTTTGTAATGTTATATAACAAAATTACAAATATTGACAGATTGGAGGGGGGGGGGCAAATTATGACTGGAAATAAAGGTATAGAAATCATTTAGTAATTAATGATTTGAGAAATAAGGGGCTATAATGTAGTAAATCCTATGACTCATTAACTGGCATCCACTATTTGAGACTTTATTCCACCTGTGCTGTATTACTGTAACCATTCATGCAAATGGTTCACATGGCTGAGCATTACATTCTATTCAATTAGTAATGTTACCACTAAGCTAAAACCTGCTGGATAGAACCACAGTACCAGTGGATTTAAAATAAGGGCTTTCAACTAGGACATAAACCCCAAAACCTGTCAAAAGCTGCACCATCGGCTGGTTTATTATATGTTCACCAGTTAGGATAAAACCAAGCATCAGAGTACAATAAACATGCTTGGAGCATGGAAGAAAAAGGAAAAGCACTGATTAAAACCATCTATTCCAAGACAATACAGGTTAATAATCGTCTATCACACAATGCTACAACAGTTAATTTTACAAGAGATGGGACTTTTGCAACTCCCAACAACAGTATTTGTGTTAAGAGCTGAATAATCGATCAGCACAATCAGCATTAATCAGTCTCTGGTACCAGTAAAATAGGGTATCTCTTGGTCTCACAAGTTAGCACAAGATTTCTTTCTAATAATATGTTTTCAAAACAGGCAATGCAACAGACTATCGGTAAATTAAAAGCTAGAAGAGTAAATTTAGAGTAGTAAATAATAACCTACTTCTATTTAAAATTAATAATTTGATCAGCTGCATATGTTTTAAAATAGCAAAGGATTATCTCAAACATTGTGACCTTGCAACTCTTTGTCTCTGCCAACATGATAAACCATTCCCCACACACCACTCTGCTGGATGGCAACTTACCTTAAAACTTCTAGTTTGTTATCTATGCTGCCTTGTGGAGAATTGTTCTGTTGAGATCGGAACTTTGAAGAAATGTACCTGAAGAGCAAAAGTAAAAGACAAACTTATAATCTTCATTATACCTCAAACTACACAATTTTAAGAGTGAGTCTGAACAAACAGCAAAACGGAATCAACATCCAAGAATACACACGTAAGAGATCGACAGATTAATTCTCTGAGAAATAGCATGCTCTCATGAAACAACACCAAACATATGTTAAGATTTGAGCCTTAAAAGCAGCAAATATTCATATCAGGCCTTCTGGGTTGTGACACCATGTGGTCTGGCACCTGGATGCCAATGTTTTAGAGGCACACACTACCTCCCTGACAATGCAGACAGCACAGTTCTCTGAAATACTGGGGCCCATCTATCAGACTGTGAAGTGTTGTAACTCAGAAAACCACAATATTAAACCAGGTATTTTTTTTTTTATAAAATTAGTTTCTTTCAAACCCCACAAAGCTTTTTCAAATGACCCATTAAAATCAAAAACCTAAACATGACAACTGGAGAACACTGGAATGGCTATCTGACCATGAATAAATACAGCCTTCAGCATTTGACTCGGCAATCTGATCTGCATATTCCGGCTGCTGGGAAAAAATCTTTAGTTCCCACTGAAGGGAGGCAGGACCCAAACCAATCAGAACGGTCATGAAGCAAAAAATCCCAAAGCCCTTGTTGCTTCTGTGACTGAGCTATCCCCATTAATCAAAATGTATGGTGCACAACGTAAGAATATGACATTTATCAGAAATTTTCTTAGAATACAAATTTACAATGAGACGTATCCTAACCAAGAGGCAATGCAAAGTTGGATACTCATTTCCATCTAGTGCCACGTTAAACCATGTGTGAGGCTAGACTGCCTGTGCCCACACACCAAACATTTTAGTTTGAAAGAAGATAAATGTTAACGTGTCCCTGTACTTAATTTAGTAGTGTGTCATCAAGATATCTGGCGGGAGCGGAGTTACAGCTTCAAACATTCTTAATGTCAGCAGCAGACAGAAAGAATGATTCGCTTCATGTATGGGATACTTTATTTCCAAGGAAAGGAGCCCCCAGTATTCACTGGATGAGTCTGAATGTTTCCCAGTCAGCCTGGACATTGTAGAGAAGCTGGCCTGCCAGAAACAGAACCCCCTTTCCCCCATCCTACATACTAAGTGAACTAACTGATAATAGAGCCCAAATGCTGCTAATATCAAAGAATGCTACTGGACATAATCTTGGGCCATTTCTCACAATCAAATAGAAATAGAATCATTATGTTCAGGTGATTAAAATAAAATAAAAATAAAATTGTGTCCACCAATGGTACATGAGTACCTGTGGTCATTCATTTTGCTAACTCTGCTTCTTATTTCATGATTAAACCAAGTCTACTTGAGTAACTCACTTGATGAGGCTCAGAGTGTCTTTGTACATGGTGAAAGCTGCTTTCTCAGTGCAACTCTCATGTTCCATAGCATTCCCGGTGAGAAGGAAAAATAGCACAGCTTCTAGGTACTGCATTCCCTGTGCTGTGTGGTCTTTTTCCCTGTCAGCCCCATGCTTCAACCTCTTGGCTTCTTTCAGGTACTGATTCTGTTGGTTCTGATCCCTGTACACAAAAGGTGCATGTCAGGAACATTTCTGCAGTGTTACACCCATGTATGCAAGTTTCACATTTCCTACTGACAATACTGAGAACTACACACTGTAAAATTTAAATACAAGTGTTCCGCCATGTAGAACAGTAAGATTTTAAAGACTTCATGGCCAGACTTATGCTATATGGTAATTGTAATTGTAACTGTAATTTATTTCGAGTTCCAGATGATCCAATAAAACTGGTTACAAACCATAGGATATAGAACATGTCAAATATTAATTAAAATATGTCAAGATAAGCAGAAGAACATGAAAGTACAATACAATCATAAGTACAGTTCAGGTATAAGTTGAGCTCGAGTAAATAATTAGAACATGGCAAAATTAAAAAGCAGTAAAATAAATGATATAAAAGACAATAAGTGTTATTGTAAATACAATAAAACTATTATACAGTTAGACTCATATAATTCAATATAGAGTAACTAACATACTATTCATATAAAACCATTAGTTTACAATATCATTCATTAAGACTACAATACTTCTCCAAGTCATAAAAACAATGGGTAATCAAGTACCTTCTTAAAGAAATCTTAAATTGCTTGTGTATCCCAACAATCCCCTTTATTTCAAGAGGCAGATTATTAAATAACTTTATACCTGTAAAGTAAACACCTTTTTGGTACAGTGTTAAGGTGGAAGTTGGGAGATATAAATTACTACTATGCCTTGTCTGGAGATTATGTGCATCATGATTAGTAGTGAAAAGTTTTCTATTCTTTGATACAAAGAGCAAAACTGAATAAATATACTGTGACTTCAATGGTAAAATTCCAAGCTGCCTGAAAAGATTTCTACATGAATGCCTATTACAATATCCTGTCATTAAACGAACTGCTTTTTTTGTATCATAAAGAGTTTCTTGGTATTGGTTGCCTGCCCCCAAAATACAATTCCATATGATAGTATAGAATGATATATGTTCACCAACGATGAGCCTGACAAATAAGGTCTGACAGATCTTATCATAAAGCAAACTGTAGTTAGTCTGTTAATAACTGAATCAATATGTATATTCCAAGAGAGGACGTTATCAACTTCCAAACCAAGAAATTTGAGATGAGAGACTTCCACTATATCACTAATATGACACACTCATGTCTGAGTTTTAGACATTATTAGAAAAAAATGGTTTTAGGGTATAAAGCCTTTAAATTACTGGAGTCTAGCATAAAGCCCATTGAAATCTGAATAGCAAACTGTCAAAAACAAAGTTCATCAAAAATACCTACTCATTAAAATACATTTGCTTGAGAACATCACTCTTTATCTTTTCTTGCACTACCTTCTTGCAGTTTCCGTTTTTTTTTTTGGTGTTGTTTTCTGTAGCCCTCTTAATATTGGTATGGTGTTATTATCTTTGTCATTTTTAAGTGCCAATTACTATGTATGTATCCATGCAGTTGTGCTAGTCTAGTGTATGTCCCTTTATTTTTATTTTAATGAGTGGATGACAAAAATGGAATAACACTGGAGTACTTTAATTCAAGAACTCATGCAATGTAGCAACAGTTGCTTGAGGATGGCCAAGTATGGCCAAACCTTGGCAGTTTAATTTTAATATTATTTTAAATTAAGGAGTAACTGTAAACATTAAAGACCGAAGTGAGTGTGTAAAGTAATTCACCAAAGCAAGAGGATGCTGAAATACAATATTATCTACATAGTCTATACACTGAGAGGATTGTAGAATAACCTTCAAGAAAGCACTCTAATCTCTTAAAAACTAAATAATAGAAATGACAATTTCACTATTCATTTAGAATGCTACCTGAATGTGTATTATTTTTAAACATGTTAGCATGTTTTATCTTGTGTTTAGTGAATGACCAGCCATTACAACCCACGAGACCATATTCCTATGGTTACAGCAGGAGCAACCTCAAACCCAGCTCAGCGTCTTAATGTCAACAGTGAATGCAGGAGCTCCAACACAAATTTCCCACAAGGCCTTGATCTTGTCTAGCACAGTAGTCAAATGACTGCTGTATATTCAAGGAATAGCACAAAACACAATCATGACACCGCATTTAGCAGAGGTCTTTTTTCTTTAAGAGAAATTGCAGACAAGGTTTCAAAAGAACTCAAAAGATGACAAATCTGTTGCTGCGATTCTCTCACCACACAAGATTAGCAGCATACATTTAAACTCATTATTAACAGCTACCGGGGCACGCGGTATCATAGTTGATTGAGGTGCTATGCTACAAGCCGGAAAGTCACGGATTCAAGTCCCGATGAGATCACTGGATTTTTTTTCAATTGATCTAATCCTTCCAGCCGCACTATGGCCCTGGGGTCGACTCAGTCTCTAACAGAAATGACTACCAGGAATATTCTTGGGAGTAAAGTGTGGACAGCGCGTAGGGCTGACAACCTTGCCACCATCTATGAGCCGATTGTCTAGAAAATGTGGGACCCTCAATATCTCAGAATCCTACGGGCCTCCACGGCCTGTTACAGGGATACCTTTACTTTTTTACTTTATTAACAGCTACCTGTGCTGAAATGGGAAACAAGTAGCATACCTAGAAGAATACATGGAAAAAGATTACGATTTGGAAATAATCTGATTAGCATTTTTAAGAAGTGGCTCACTAAGAACCACTCTGAATACTGGGCCACAGATCCAGGTATGAGACAGCTGAAGTTCTTCAATGAAGGGTCTTTGTAAAAATACTGTCTACAGACCTACTGGCCGTGAACAGGAAACAGTGCAGACTGGTAACAGGATTGTTACCATGTCACTTTGAGATAGTCTCTCAGATAACATTACATGCAGGAAATCCTCCTAGTACATACTCTGTGAATGTCCAGTTCTGGTTGGGCATAGAATGAAGATCTTAGGCCCTGCATATCTGGAGCCATCAGAATACCAGGGTCTCGGTCAAGAAGTTCTGCCTTTAGCACTCATGACAGGGTTCTTTTGATGGGGGTTCTAGTAAAAACAGGGGTGTACAAAGGGTCCAACGGTGGTCTGAGGGCTTCAGGTCATCAGAGGCTGTCCACCCATGCCAGTACCCAATACTCTGATTAGTGAGTGAGCTAATCATTATTTCACTTAATGTTTGATACGGTTTGTCTCACAAATTCTTCCATGATTTTAGCAAGTAGCATTCCAGCCTTAATCTTCTCATTAACGTACACTTCACTGACAATACTGCACTTCTATGGGGGACTATTATTCTACGTTAAAATGCCTTTAGCAGAAAAAGAGGCCAAATGAAGCAACATCTGGACTTGCAAGCCATGGACCAATGAGATTTTACTGTATTTTATATGTAACTCATACAGTGCAAAACAAATTTTTACTCCTGATCGACACTTATTTCATTCATGCCGGATCAGTGAAAGAGTGGGTTACAGTTGTTAAATCATTTAACCAGTCAGTGCTACAAAGGTGAATGCATGTAAGAAACATACCTGTCCTCATCTTCCGAGGCATCGTCATCTTCTCGTTCAAAATAAGAGAAGTACACTTTCTGTGTAGCATGTGACCAGTTCATGGCTGACATGGGATAGCCATGTCCAGGAGGTATGGGGTAACTTAGCAGAGGACCCTCAGAATAGTGCAGCCGAGAACAACCTGGCGATTCGCTTCCAGCTGCAGCTACCATCTCATCACTGTTATCTTCTCGCTCATGATTTGTTGGAGGCACATCTTTGAGAGCTACTGTGCTCTGAAAAATCAGTGGATTGAAGACACACATTATGTCCAGGTCAAGGGGAAGCCTAAAGGTTTCTGATGATGGTCTATGACAATAACCATGGCTATTATTATGACAACAGTACATCAAATTGTATTTTTTTAAAATATGTTTGGGAACTGGATCTGTTTTCACCATCAGGTGTAAGGCAGGAAAGGTTTCTGCTCAATTGCATTCATTAGAAACAGGAAGTTTGAATCGCTGAACATTAAAACTGTTTAGAATCATGTGACACAATAATCCATTGCTGCACAACAGCTCAGTAAACACTGCCTATAAGCTGCAATAGCAGCAGAAGCGGAAGTGAATTTGCTAGGCAACAGTATGCAAACATCTGTTTCAGCAGCAACAAATATTAACAAAAATATTCCTGTGACAACATACAGAACAACAGAGAATTAATTGTCTGACAGGGTGGCATATATATTCGGGACACGTGACAGATATAAAAGGGAGTTCATTCCTGAATTTGAGAGATTAGACCGAGATTCTTCAGACATATTCACCAGACAGACGGCGTTCAGAAGGAGCTCAACTGTACTCTGTTATAATTGACTGTAACTGTAAAGAAGTAACAATAAATCCAATCATCATCGAATCCAGAACCCAGTATTACTGTAATGTGTATCTTGGTAACATGGCAGTAAATAATCGGTTTTGGATCTGATAACTCGATTTACTCGATAATTTACATATCAATTATTGGACTGCCTTGATTGAGGTCTTCCTGACAAATCTCCTCAAACGGTGTTCACTGCTCCCTATACAGGCTCGGCATGGACCACCCACAGAAAAGACATTCCTGTTTAGCAAAGGATATCATGTATTGCTGTCAGGCGCGTCCACCTTGCATTGCATAGCAATGGACGCCCTATTGGCGCACATTCATTGCTGTGATGTGTTTATTGGTCTGTTACCTAGCACCAGATGACCTTGTATTGTTGGATGCTCATTGGTTGGAACATGTTTATGTATTTGGCTCAATCTGTCAGATTATTAGTCATGCTAACCTATACACACGACAATACCGTATTTACGCGTGTATAGGCCGCACATTTTTTGCCAAAAATTCAAGAGGAAAACTGGGGTGCGGCTTATATTCGAAATCACACTTCATTTAAAAAAAAATTATATTCATAATTAGTAATACAGGGTGTAATACTCCTGAAATAATATTCCAAGAAAATTATTTTTTCTATAATTTGTCTGAAAATTGTGCTGCGGCCTATACATGCGTAAATACAGTATATATAATTTTGAATTGAACTGTATTTAGAAAATTGAATTGCTAATGTTAAATATATAAATGCATATTTTTAATACTGTTATGGTGACCAGTTCAAGGAGGTTAGTAGCAAAGGCAGAATGACAGGAGAAACAGAAAATGTTGAGTGAACTTTGGTTGGAAGAGTTCTTGGAAAGAGATCATCTGCAAGAACAAAATACAGGTGGGAGGACATATGAAAATAAATGTTACAGAAACAGACTATAGCACTGTACACTAGTTTGAACTGGCTCAGGATATGGTCTGATAACAATACCAGTGAAGAACTTTCAGAGTCCATAACAAAAGTCAAGTTTCCAAACGTTTAAGTTCAGAGCTCCGGGAGGAGCTCATTCTTTCAATATGGAGTGTTAAATGGGACTTCGGGTGGGGGCAAATATAAAAACATTCATATAAAGCAGGTTACAAGGTTGTGGGTGAGTCTATGTTGTATTATGCAGTCAGTAGGCTTAAGTTGTATTTCTGGAGTCCTACATGAATTAGTATGTGCTGAATGACTGGAACACATCCTCCAGCAGGCAGTTATCAATATCTGTGTGTATTTTATTGTGTGCATACTCACTTGACTAGATAACCTTAATGTGGCATGTTCACTGGACTCCTCAGGTTGCTGCTGTTGAACTTTACGTCGCTTGCTTGAACCATGTTCACGGTTATGTCTTTCACGGTGCCTTTGGCCACTGCCACCTTGTGACGATACTCGGCTGCATTCTGTTGACAATGAAGACACAGAGCTGCCGCTTGGCTTGCGTTCACGTTGACGTTTATGCCCATTACTATCGCTGTTCTTTTTGTGATGTTTGGATTTACCAGCAGGTTTCACATTCCTTTTAACAAAATTAAGACATTTTCACCAATTACTCAGTACTCTCTGCCCTTTATTATCTTCAGTTTCACTAGCCAAATTAATATTCTAATTTAGATTCTAATACTGTCCCATACTGCTAAAATTTATGCAGATACACTCATTACACAAACAAACATATAAACACGTGTCATTCAAATGAAATTAACTTCAATATGTCCATATCTTCCCCAAAACCAAGCACAAATGTATAAAACTTGTATGAAGAGATATGTTTATTGGAAATGTAATCACCGTAATGAAGGACAAGAAATGAATACAATCAGATTTTATTAGAATTTACAACGAACTTCAACTACAATCAATTTCAACTCTCCAAAAACTGGTAAATGTTCCACTCGCAGCTAAGCAACTTTCACCACAGCCAACAGTGATGCTTCTGTAACAAAAAAACTAATGCACACAAGTCATATTCACTGCTTGATATTGTAATACATTTCCTGACCACTCCATATTTGATGCTTTTCAAAAAGGAAATGTGAAAGTACCTTCCACATCAACCATATATTAACTGTTTACTTCAAGGACATCAGAGTTGGAGTCTGGCACAATAAACCTTCATTATAAAAGACAAAATCTGACTGTGTTCATATTGTGTGTTTCAGTGGTTATTGTGTGAAATGGCCACATATTCCATGGTGTACTTCTGTGAATACCTCTTCACTCAGTTATGGCGAACATCGGCGATAATGGACAACCTGTCCTCCCTGTTAGTCCATTATAACAAGGATTTACTGTAATTAAAATAACTGAACTAAGGTGGTCCTTGTTGAAATGACATCAGGTCTGTTTCAGCACAGATGAAATATTCAACATCTCTCATGCAGGGAACAGAACTGTTCTGCACACAAAGTATTCCCGTTTTACGATCAACAGTTCTTAACCATAGAGTTCTAAACCAGTGTAAAACTGATTAGTCAAAATTGTGCCCATCTTGTCTTTTCACCCACATGGGTGGAATGTCTTTGTGTTTACTAATCAGTAACATTCATATGACACAAAAGATGGAAATCCTTAGCAACAGCGTTACTTTCATCCATTTATACCCTTTTACACTCTATTATGATTTCTGATGATGATGCAGGATTAAGTGATACTGCTCTGTTTTATTTCTATATACTATTTAAAGGCATAAAACATTTGTAAAAGTCCCGAAGACTTCGTCAAAATTCCAAAGACAGCTCAAGAAAGACTACACAAATGAAGAACAAAGCCTGAGGTAGAAACTGAACCATAAGCAGATCTAAAGGAAATAAAACACACGATGAAGAACAGCACAGAAGTTGCAGATAAGCAGCACTCCCATATAACCACAGATAGAGCAATACATCAAAATACCCACCTCATGATGCCTTATCCGCAGGACTTCTATCGCCACAGAATAAAGTTAAACAGCCCTCAGTATCCAATATTAGGTCAACCTGCTCTTTCTGTTGTTCCAAAAAATATTTTATGACGACAACTTTTTGAAAACATTATTCAGTGGATATGTGAACAGATCACACACAGCAAAAGACTGTGTTCACCAAGATGACAAGTAAAACTGTTCAGTTATCCACATAATAATTGTTAAATACTTATTTGCACTAAATGTTTACAAAGAAAAGTACAATGAGATTTATAAAATTTGTCCGCAAAGTTGGTGCCAACTTTAGCCGATAGAGAGTGTCACGTGATCAGCGCAACAGATCCCCATGGCCGTTAATCTCGGTTTTCTAGACCAGAGCTGCTATTTCCTTGAAATAGCTCCTCAGTTATCCTTACTAGGCTGAGTGGACCCCGTTCCAGATCCACTACGTCTGAGAAAATCTGGTAGTGCCGGGAACCGAACCCAGGACCTCTGGCCACTAGACCACAGAGGCAGTCCAATACATAGAAACAGATCATAATTTTTATGTCCAGCATTAAACTGGGGTTCTTGTGAACATGGTATAAACCTCAGGGTTGAACAGATGGTGGAGAATTTATTGAGTAGCTGCATCACTATTAGCTTTCAATAACGACTATGCTCCATGGAGTTAATGCAGCATTAATGCCTCTTCCAATGAAGCTTATCATTCTAGAGTTAACCGTCTTTGATTTATTTTCTGCATCACTGAGCAGTTATGTTTTTATGTTTACCAGTTTCAGGAATATTGCAACAATATTTACACCCAGCTTGAAATGAAGTACTACTTATGATATCTAGGGCTCACAAAGGCACTTAGGGAAGAACAGTACAAGACATACTGGCACTGTTGATTACTGTTCAAACTAATAACCAAAATTTATAATTCTTTAAACTTTGAAACTGTTTACATTCGATGTATTATGCTTGAACCAAACTGATGCATCAGTTGGTTGAAGTCTACGGTTAAAATCACAAGCATCTGACACAATTCACTTACCCTTCTATCTGTGTAGTATCTCTGATTTCCTGTTGGTTTTTGGTGCTGGAATTGTCAGTATTTCTGCTAACTTTCCTCTTCTTTTGCTTCTTGGAAGCCTCATGATTAACTGTCGTACTGTCACAACCTTGTTCCTGTACCACTTTATCTGTGTTCTTATTTTTATCACACTTTGGTATCACTATGTCTCCCTCCTTGCAAGTAGGTGACTGAGTCCTCTGCTTTTTGTCCTTCCTACTATGGTCTGGGTCACTTCCACCCTGTTGCCTTGTATCTGCTAATTCTGTTCGTACCCTAACGTCTTCACCCCCACTAGGTCTCTTACCAGGGCCTCCTGGAATTGGGATTTGAGATAGTCTAGACAGATCCAAACGACAGATAATACTTGGAATTCCATCAGAACGATACACAATTGAAGGAAGTTCCACTTTTGGTGTGTCTTGTGCAGTTTTCTTGTTTGACGAAGTATCACGCCTGACTTTGACTGCTGCAGAATGTTTAGACAGTTTTTCAGACTCTTTTTTTGCGGACTTTCGCCGTGAAGGTTTTTCAGAACTATGTGCTCTTGCACCTGACTTTCCAGACGTCGTACTGCACTTATCAGTCTTCGCTGGACTTGAATTTACAACAAAACCTGCACTTCCTTGCTTGTTTGTTGTTACTGTGTCATTACCTGATAATGGGGACAGTAAACAAGGGCTCACTGGGGTTGGTACACCCTCATCTTCCACTGAAGAAGACGTCCTTTCTGACTCGCACTCCACTACAAGAACACCGGGAGTTTTTGATCCTCCCTTGCCCTTCGCACCAGCACCTTTCCCACCCCCACTGGCACAATATATACCCCCTTTGGCACCACCTTTTGCTCCCCCTTTAGCCCCACCTTTGGCACCTCCCTTAGTAGGAACGAAAAGTTTTCTCAAGGTATCACTTTTCTTCTTGTCTTGGATGGCTTTGCCTTCTGTATCCAACTTTGGAGGACTCTCTTCTACCTTCGACATAGGTGGGCGGGACAAAATACGAGACCTGTCACTGTCCCTGTCACTGTCTGAGGAGTGCTTCCTCTTAGACAGACTGGCTGACTTCTTCCTGCCCTGGCCAGAGTCAGAACTGGAATCGGGACTGTGATTCCGCTGACTCTTGGCTTTGAAAGACCTTGTAGTCTTTTCCGACGATGTGTTTACAACGTCTATCTCACAATCACTATCTGAGGACGACTCTGTTGTGGTATAACAACTTTTCATCGCCTTTGATTTCTGACCTCTCCTAGCATAAGGCCTCCCAGGCCCAGACTGTTTCTTTGGACCACTTGTAACGTCTTCCTTAGTCCTTTTCCTGGTGGCAGAACCTTTTGGACCCTTCTCCTTCTTTGGAACAGTAGCTTTCTTTTCTTCTTGTGCTGGCATTCCACCAGGTCTTGCCTTATTTCTACCTCTACCAGCCTTCTTAACATTGCCCTGAACTTTGCTGTTCTTCCTTGTCCACTCACCATCCCTTTCCTCAGACCCGCTAAGAGGCAAAGGAGAGTGAAGTTTTGGCCTGCTTGTTGAAACATTTCCCCTCCTCCTATCAACTTCACCTTCCTCATCTGATGGGCTTAACAGCAGTTTTTCCCTTACACTGAAAGTTTCTCTGCTGGCTGCATGCTGGTCTCTTGGTTTAACACTCGCAGTTTCATCTTCAGAGCGGCTGTGAGCATTGGCATGCTTGGTAACTGCTCCTGAACCTTGTTTACCTCCATCTGAATCATCATCTGATCCACTTGGTGCCGAGAGGGGTGGTTTGGGTCTTACATTCACTGATGGTTTAGAATCCTTAATTTCACCATCTGATGTACTAGAAGAAGACTGGCCTCTTCCTTGAGGCACTACGGCTTCCTCGTCTTCTGATTCACTAGGTGATGGAGGTGGAGGCTTCCTCACATCACTACTTACACTGGGAGTTTGTTTCACAGTCCTGTTAGGAGTCTGCTTTTGAGCCCTGTTGGGAGTTTGTTTTGGAGTCCTTTCCCCATGTTTCTTCCTTTGATCATCTACCTTACCCACAGATCGGGCTGGAGATGGAGAGGGTTTTGACCTAACACTGTGACTGTTACTGTTTCGCTGCTTTACAGTTGGTTGTTTTGGAGACTGCAGCTCTTCATCTGATGTACTTGGGGTCCTTGGTTCCTTCTTAGGACGTGTCTTGTTTCGGTTGGCCGGCCTGGTTTTTTCCCTGATGATCATCACACTTTCACTGTCACTGTCACTCGACAGCTCTGGTGCCCGGGTGGGTAGAGTTGGACGTTTCCGTCTTGATCTTGTATCGGTGAGCACTGGTTTCTTCTTAGCGCTGTCTGCAGAATCGGATTCAGAGAGACTAGACAAGAGTGGAAGAGGAGGGCGCTGAAGAGCCTCAACTACATTGTCCAGCTCTTTGTTGGAGTCACTGCCATCTGATACTGCACCACTCGCTATTTTCACTTTGGTCCCAACTGCAGGCTGTTGTGGGTTTGACTCTGGTAGACTGCTAGGAACTGCAGTGGTTACTGCTGCTGAGGAAGGCTCCTGTTTCACAAATTCCAGCTAAAAAAAGAAAGAAAACACAAAATATATTGCTTGCTGCTGAACACAGACTTTGAAGAGATGGCTAGCAACAGTAAATGAAAAGGGCAGGTGGTCGTCTTGCCTAAGCAACATGCCATTAGGGTGAATCGGACATGGAAATAAAGCTCCATGCATTCACAAAGCTAAACCGTCAGTTTCATGTTCTGGCAGCTCTATGGCCAGGGGCATGGGCCTCTGGTACCCAATGAAGAGAAGGTTAGGTGGGCCCCTAAGCCAGTTTTGATATGATGTGAAAAGATATATTCTTCCCTATGTCAAGAACAGAACCTTAAGTTCTGGTGGGTTCTGGTTCTGGGAGCCAGTTATTTTTAGTAAAACAACAGTTCTCAAGTTATATAACAGGTCATGGTGCAGAAGTCTGCTCTTATGTCCTGTTGGGAACTCACTTGCTCCCAGACACAATGCCATTATGTATACGGTAATTAGATTCAAAATCTGGCTCATAATAGCCTATCTATAAACAGAATCATTTTGGACTACTTGTGATAACAGGAAAAAGCAACAGTGCTGTAATACTGATAATGAAACAAAGCAGGAAAAAATTAAAATGAACAATGAACAGTCTCTTCATAATTTACATAAATGGGGACACAGCCTTCCTTACCAGAAGTGCATTTGAGCACTGAACACAGCAAAACAGACCATATTGTTACAGAAAATATCATGAAGTCAGGGTGAGCAGACACCTAAATGGCTAATATATCCATTTTGTGGATTACTCAGAAATTTTTATTACCACACTAAGATAACACTTTTATTATTATTATTAGAGGGGGTGGGTTTCCCCATGCACTTAGACCAGTTACTGGTCCATTGTGCGTCCCCCTTTAATTTCTACTGTCGCCATACCTTACCGATACTGGCGTGTGCTATCAGCCCCGTTCAGCCAACGAGGTCAGCTGGCAGTACCTGATATTTCCCCCATCCAGCAGAGACATTGGAAACTACTTGGGCAGGAAATTGTTGCCTAATTTTGCTCAGAGGTCTCCTAGAGACATGAGGATCTTTTACATGCCATAAATCTAAGACACGGGACCCACAGCTTAAAGTCCCTCCCGGAGGACTTGTTCCCTGAATTTTTCCGCCCATAAAAATTCCACGACCTCCGCCAGGTTTCAACCCGCTTACCTTGAGTCATGAGGCCGCTAAGATAACACTTAAAAAGGATACTGATTATTTAATATGCTACCTACTTTAACATTACGAATTCTGCATACTGCCCTATCTAAAAAGATCATCAGACTAAACAGCAATTAGTTAGCTGCATAGCATTCACTGGTTATCTTTGTAAAGCAGATGCACAGCGTATTCTGTGAGGTGTGAACTGGATTTTTAAGTATTATTTCAAAGAGTTAATGGCTATGAAAGTCTCAGTAATGCTCAGCTTGACCATATATTTTAACAATATTGGTTTCACAACATAATGGGTTCACCTTTCTAATTGAGATGCAAACATTATTTTCTCAGGGATATCAACTGAATTCTCTAAACATTATGTACATAGATTTCAAAATTCAAAGAATTAATGCCCGTATAACTCTTAATGATGTTCAATTATATTACACATTTTAACATTACTGGTTACTACAGATACACAAAAGGGGCAGCTAACCTTACAAAGTGTTGAATGTTCACTTTCTACTGGCTGCTCTCCTCCAAGAGACTGTGTTTCTCTTTTAAGAAACCTTTCCAAGTTCCATCTATCTTGAGGCTTTGTCTCTTCCATTGGCTCCATAGTTTGTGGAGACAAATGAGCTTGTGGGGCAGTGGTGCCCCTTGCAGAATCCACAGGTTCATGAGACGCCTCATCCCCCGATTCTTCACTGCTTGACTCACTGTCTGATTCAGAATCAGAGTCGTCCTCGCTGGATGAGCTGCAAGCCCCTGAAGATTGGGGAGGACCCACCGGGGACATGGGTGCCACAGGCTCAGTAGGTCTACTGCCAATACTTAGTGTGCCAGGGGTTGGACTAGCGGTCAATATTGCAGCAGCACAAGGACCACCTCTTCTGCTGAAACAAGAGCGAGATTCCAATACTAAGAAAACATCACAAAACGGACAAAATTCCATCAATGCAGTTTTTAAACGCATTATGCGTGGTCTAATGTACAAGGAAGAAACAGTACAAGTTCATTTAACATAAAAAGCTTTACAGCTAGTACTGAACAGTGCAATGGTATTATTAGGCCAGCCTCAAATCAGGCCAGTCTAGCTCATATTTTAATTTGTATTCTCTTTCTTTCGAGCATTACAATGATCACCTTCACATAATAATTAAACTACATTCTCTCTTATTATCCGTGAATTATTCTCACACAGTTCCAATGTCAGAATGCTAACATTACTGTAGTTTTAACAATGACTAACAACGCCTCCTTTAGACTTAATATTTATTGTCTAGAAGTTAAAATAAAATAATGAATTACAGTGCAGTAACAGTGCAGTGCATAACAAATTTTACCATAAGTTTAAACGTATTGACAAATCTTTTTTGATTCACATTATTTCAAACTTTGTGAATAAAGTGACACTTTATTTTTTTATGTTGAACTATTTCGAATTTGAATAAAGTGTAACAGCACTGTACCTAAGCAGATGTTCCAATCATATTTCTAAAATAAAATTGAATTGAATTATAATTTTCAAGATTGAACAATGGATGCATAAAATAAGGTAGCAAAAAGCTAATAAAATAACTGCAACAGACATCAATCTCCAATTGCAGTGCAGTGTAACAGGAAGAGGAGAAACAGAACAAAGTTAGTCTGTGCACATTTTAGCCAAACATTATCCTATGTGAACACCTCAAATTTCATGCCAAAGTCAATCTTAGATTCTCTTTAAATATTACAGCCACCAAATATTAACCACACATTTAATTTATTAACAACGGAACTAATTTCATGTGGTACAATAAAGTCCTTCCTGAGCAGCTCATAGTTATTTGACCGATCAGAAAATTTCACACATTTTGTGGAACCCAAATGTGCATTACCACATTCACAAGAGCCCACCAGTGGTTCCTACTCTAAGTCAGTTCAAACCCAATCATACCATTTCTTGAAGATCTATTTTAACACCTTTCTCTTATCTACATGTAGGTCTTCAAAGTGGACAGTTCCCTTTAGGATTTCTGACTAAAATTTTGTGTACATTTCTCATCTCCCCCACGAGTGTTCTTTCAGATGGTAACCCCAATAATATTTGAAGAGTACAATTTATGAAGCTCCTCATCATGCAATGCTCTTCATCCTGTTGCTTCCTCTCTCGTGGGTGCAAATAATGTTCTCCTCACTCTATTCTCAAATACCCTCAGGATGACAGATCAAGTTTCACAACTGTATAAAACAACAGGTAAAATCACAGCTTCATCTTTTTAATCATTATGGGAAAACAAAAGTTTCAGAATTCAATGACAGCAGGTACTTCTGGAATTCAATAACCTATTAATTTCTTTACAAATCAAATTTTCATTTTTTACTGGGTTTCCCAAACATTAGAACATGTTTTATTAACAACTGCTTACTAAATATTCTTAGAATATGTCAAGATATTGTGAAAGATCTTCTGGAAAAGAACGCTGATGCCTGTGTACTTGAAACAGAAGAAAGGAAATAGCAACAGAACCGAAATGTACTGAAGAGATGGGACCAGTGTACTGTCAGAAGCAATGGACTGGAACCCCCAAGGCAAGAGAAGAAAAGACACATACAGAAGGATAGTATAAAGAATGGGAGATAAAGAGCTAGAAAGAGGTTCAGGCTATCCCAACTAAGTGAATCAGACTGCATGGTTTAATGCAGGCCATAGGGCGCTGACTGATAATGAAGAAGCACATATTCATACTGGAGAAACGATTCAACAAAACTGTCTTGTTGCAGTTTTCTGATAGCAATTTTGCTCTAGGGCTCAGCATGTAAACCAAGGTGCTAATCACTATAGTTATGTAATCTAATGATGGTGATTCAAGCATAGAGATTATATAACATTGAATGACATAATTACGAACCCAGACTACACAGCATCAAATGACTGGATGATAGTAAATAAAAAATTCTAAATGCTATAGAAGGAAATGGTTATGATCTAATTTCAGATCCTGAGCATTTGCCCGGAGGGACTGAGGTAAACCATGAAAACTCCAGTCAAAGACAGCCAGCACCCTAGCTGAGATTTGAACTAGCCACATCAAAATACGACTCAGAAGCATTACCACTTCTGCCAACTTGCTCGGCAATTGTGGCCCATATGAAGGTCCACTTGTTTAGACAATAAAGAGAACTACGAATACTTTCAGAGAGGCTAACTGGTAACCCAACGTGGGTTTGAATCCCACTCAGGGCATGGATGTTTGTGTGCGTTTTTCTGTTTGTATATAGGTAGAGGCCTTGCGACAAGCTGATCACCCACCCAAGGAGTCCTACCGAATGTGTAAGATCTACAAAAACCGAAGTGAACAGAGAAGTTCATGGAGGTAGGCCTAGGCCCACTGGGGCTGTAGTGCCAAGGGGGGGTAAAAAAAGAAAAAAGAAAGGTACAGTTATCCCTGTGCTTAATTAATTAAGCACCACGTCATAAAGATGTATTGGGAAGTTGAGGTGGTATAGTTCTGCCATTCGTAACCTCAGCACTAGATGCCCATTGCTTTACCAACGGTAGCGGTTTTACAGCAGGCAGGGTGTGCACAGAACCTGGTATGAATGTGGCAATGAAGAGAACATCTCCACCCATACCAAGAACTGAATTCCAATTCACTGCTCATCCAGTCAGCAGGCCAGTCATCAATGCTACCTCACTCCAATTCGGGAGATGGAGGAACAGGAATGAATGTAACAGGCCGTGGAGGCCCATATGGTTGTGACACCTCAAGGCTCCCACATGTTCTAGACAATCAACTCACATATGTCGGTGAGGCTGTCAGCCTTATGCACCAGCTGCCCTTTACCACCAAGAAGATTCCTGGTACTCAATCCTGCTAGAGGCTGAGTTGACCCTAGAGCCATAGTGCGGCAGGAAGGATTAAGTCAAATGAAAAATCCAATGACCTCATCGGGAATCGAACCCGCGACCTTCCGGCTTGTAGCATAGTCCCTCAACCGCGTGTCCACAGCACGAACGAATATGTTTTGAAAATGTAGGTACTCTCGTGCAGTACACTGAATACTACAAGGGCTATTAACTGAATTAACCAACTGATTAATCAAAGTCAAAGTCACATTGCGACTGACGGTCAGTCAGTATTTATTACCGTTTGACAGTTACGGTCTTGTTTCTGTGGGGCGCATTCTTTGATGAGAGGACGGGTCTCGTTTGTACGAGTATATGCTGCTGGCCCTTGTCAGCGCAATCTTTCTCGGGTCCGAGTCCTTTGGGACTCGCGACCATATTTTACTGTCTCAGATTTGAGACTTCCCTTTTCGTCCCCTCCTACGACTCGCAGGGTCACGGTGGAGGTATTCGATCCCGCCTCCACACGTGGTAACCTGCTTAATCCTGGTTAACTGATTAATCATGTCTTATTTGCAATTTACATAGGCCAACGTACACCGGAAAGGAAGAGCGTAGAGGGCATTTAGGCTCAGTTAAAATACCGCAATGAACTCACGGATTCCTAAACATAAACGAGCACTGGGTAAATATGAGAATGTTCTGTCTTCAAAACTCCTCCTGTCGGATCGTCGGATACCTATCTGATACTCGGAGAAAGTGTGTGTACACCTCGCTCAACAACGGCCATAGTTAGTGACGTAAATGTGCGTATTACAACGCGAAACTAAATTAGAATATATATATATACTCGTATATATATCTACTGGTATAATAAAGTATTTATAGTTCTTTTTGCAAGATTAACAAAACAAAGCAACTACTGCGATGAAAACCTTGCTCTGTGAGAACCTTGTTCTAGCGAAAGTTGGGGACAGCATGTCTACAAAGTACACACATCAATAAACAAATAGAAAATGAATCGCTCGATCCGTCTATTCGTAGACTCAAGTAGAGTTTGCCTTCGGCCCTCATGCAACCTCTAATGACGAAGAACAAACACAGCAATCCAAATATGAGTTCCCAAAGCAATAAGGGCCGTAATCCTGTTTACATTAGAGTCAGGAATAAATACAAGATTTGAGGTCTTCACTGTGAATATTTAGACTGCAGTATTCGTGATGGTTACTGATGTTTCTTACCCTGAAGATGAAGGTAGTAGCCTCATTTGAAATGTCGCTAACCACCCGGAAGAGTACACGTCACCATAATCTCGATGAAGGCCACAATATACGTTAGTCGTACCGAAAGTCATGAGCAACTTTTTTTTGCATGCAACCTGGAGACAGCAGACGAAAGAGAGTACAGTGGTAGGTGGAACCAGCGTCACGTGACCAGTATCACTCCTAACAAAATGGTCGACAACCATATGTCGTTTCGCCAGCGTGCTGTAATCGAATTTCTTGTGAAAGAGGAAATCCCTGCTGCAGAAATTCACCAGAGACTTCAGCGTGCTTATGGAAGTGTGTGCATGGGTGCGAGCAGTGTTCGAAGATGGGTGAAACATTTTAAAGATGGGAACACCAGCATTGAAGATGAGCCTCGGAGCGGTCGTCCTCGAACAACCTCAACTGAACGCAACAAGGAAAGAGTGGATGAGATCATTCAAGATGACAGGCGTGTGACTGTGGACACAATAGCCCGAAAACTTGGTATAGGGCACAGTGCAGTACAGGAGATGATTGAAAGCTTGGGCTATAGGTAAGTTTGTGCTCGCTGGGTCCCACGGTTATTGACCGATGACCATAAAGGTCAGCGAAAAACCATCACCTCAGAACTGCTGCAGAGATATCGACACGAAGGCGATGATTTTTTGCTCTGTATTGTGACAGTTGACGAAAGCTGGTTTCACCATTTCAAGCCTGAAACGAAACGGCAGAATATGGAATGGCACCATTTGCATTCTCCATCAAAAAAGAAGGCAAAGACAGCGCCATCAGCTGCGAAGGTGATGGACACAGT